GCTGCTGGAGGAGGAGGAGGAAGAGGAGGTGACGATGCTGGACCCTCAGTGCCCCGTCACGCTTCACTTGAAGTGAATGAAGGGGCGCCGCACCCGTTCAATGCCAGTTTTCGTTCCGTTACTGATGTCTGTAGGAAGTTCTTGAAATATTTATCTGTATATAAATGTGTTCATGTAAGCCTTGGTGGCGTCCGATGGGGTGCAGATTTCCACTGACTCCACGCAGTGCTGTTTTCGAGCCGTCGTTACCTTTTTTCAGTCTTATCTCTGTTTTTTTTTAGATTTGTAACCTTTTTAAACTGCTTTAGATATCAGTGCTCATAGTGTTCTTTAAAACCCGTCACACTCTTGGAGGTTTGGGTGAGCGCAGCCGAACGGACACGCCCGCAGGGGAGGAAGGCTCAGGCACCGAGGAGAGAAACGCCGAGTCCTGCCAGGGGAGCACGGCATCCAAACCCCTTCGTGTCGGCGTAACCGGGGCAAGGGCCTGCCTGAAAAAGATATTCCCGTCCGTCACGTGGTTGTCACGGTGCAGAGGGGCACCGGTGTGGTTTTTTTTGGGGTGGGGGGGTATATCAGAGCGTTTGCACCGTACGCACTCCACTTTTCTCAGCTTGTTCGTGCCCTCCGTCCGTCCAGTGCCCTTCAGCGTTCTTGACGTTTCCCAGAGAATTTCAGAAACGCGTTTGTGCTGCGGGTTTTTGCTGTGTGCCTGGCTGTTGGCGTTGTATTTGACGGGAGATTATTACAAGGTGGTCAGGGAGGTTTCTGCAGCCCCTGCCTTGCGTTAATAATTCTGGATATTGTTTAATTCCGCTTTAACCTTGGAGCGCTGAAATGTAACCCCCCCGGTACAAGCGTCTGTAGCGTAAAGTCCATATAAACTCAACATGCTTCATCATTTGACGCCGCTTCTCTGTACGATAGTGGAAATCATCTAGTTTGTAGCGTTATCATTGCACCAACAACTGCTTAAAATATCTCGACAGAAATGTAACTGATCGCTAACGAGGTGGCAGGAAATTTGTTCAAGCCCCGCAAGAGCCGTGGTCAGCTCCGCGTCCCGCGTCGGGAGGCTTCCGCGCAGGCTGGAATTCCCTTTCCCTTCCGAGCAGACGCTTCCTTCCCGAGCAGCAGCCGTGAGGGAAGGTGTCCGCCTCTGACGTTTGCACAAGCCAAATGCCATAAAGCTGAAAGACGAACCTTCGCGTGGAAATCAAATGCCAGCGCGACGCGCGCGGTTCGTTCCGTTGCTCAAAGGGCAGGCGCTGGGGATTTCTGGTGGTTATAAAATATATATGTATATGTGTAGAGGAAGCTCTTATATAAAACAGCCATTTGTTCTCGAGCACTGTTGTCTTCTCCGCTCCCTTTCCCCCCCAGGCAGCCGGGGGGTGGGTGAACTCTTGCAGTCTG